CGATGTTTTTTTGCAGCTATATGGATGTGATGTAATGTGTGTATTAGGGGTGTTGCGTTACCGTGGTGTTAAAAAATTAAATATTGATATCATATTCATAACACACGTTTGATGATATCGTCTAAGTAATCCAGCGCCGAAGAAAAATAATTTCATATACAGACAATATAAACAATGAAAGATGGGTTTGACTGTATCATTGTATCATGTCGTGATAATATGCCGAATTATTTTGGCCACGATAATGATGTAGTGATAAATCTGATCTCGTGACAGCACCATTGTGCGACACGTGGTTCTACAGAATCTACACCACGAGGCCAGAAGTATGTAGACGTAGACCAGAGCGGCTCTTCGTCTCTTCGTCCTCTGTTTCCTAAACATCGGACACCGAGAACAATTTTGTCCAGATTATGTACAATTTTACTTTTTTTTAATAAACGATCTGAACTGACAAAAAAGATTTGAATCTGAAAATATAAAATCTGAAACTGAAAAATATAAGAACTCAAATATCAAAATATATATGAAAGTGAAAAATGAAAAAAAAAAAAAATGTATTCGAAAACATTCCAGAACTGAATCAAAATTACATTCAACCCAAAAAAAAATTTTCATTCACTTATTTTTATTTTGAATACATTGCTGTATTTTTCAATGTTCAAGACCACAACTTGAACTTTCAGGTTCACATTTTTTTTTCAAATGAACAAAACTTTTGACCTGGATTAGCTCCATACACCCAGAACACGGACTGTGAGCCAGACCGGATCACCCAACGGCGGTGTCGGACCTCACTGACGCTCCCGTGGCTGAATGGGGACAAACGATACCACTGACATGAACAGTATTTGCTCAGACAGAGAGCTATAAAACTGTCCCCTCTGTCTCTTCAGTCTTATCCCCTCCATGTTGCGGCCTGTGTGGGGCCTTGTTCCTGCATTGGGGGGCATTTATTTACAACATGGCAGCCAGGGGAAGGGAGGACAATTCAACCAGTCTCCACCCTCTGGCCACACTGTCAGCAGGTTCGCACCGACAGCGGGCCCTCCTACGGGGAGGTCAGGGAGGCAGAGAGCACCCTTTGACCTGCTCTGGACCTCCACTTAGTCTCAGGGAATAATGATAATTTTCGGTCTAATGCTGCAGACAAACTTCCCTATGGCACTAATGATGTCGTACACCTAAACGAAAGTGAGAACAATAGAAACAACTGGCAGAAGACCAACGACAGTCCCTTTAGTCAATGCTTATTACAGATAATCAACAGAAGTGTTTCCTGTCACTGAAGTGAGCCAAGAAGTAGAAGGAAGAGCCAGGGAAAGGAAGGCCCGTCAGTTCTCACACCCTCTGCTGTCTGACCCTCACACCGGGGAAGGTCACACGATGCGACAAACAGCGTAGCAACAGAGACTAGGCTCTAAAGTAAAGGTGTAACGAAGTAGGAATGAGCTCCGCACACTCTGTGCAGACTGAGGTCACAGGGTTCAGGGCCCGGAGAGGACGTTCACAAAGCATGGATAGAAAGTAGACAACTTGTTCTTGGACTCTATCTGGGAGTGATACGCAGTGTTATGCTTCTTTTTAGAGTAACTTGGGACTTCTCAAGTATCTACTTTTGCTACTTTAGTTCTGTGATTTGAGTAGAATGAAGTTACTTTTATTGTTATTGATAATTTTAAAGCAGAAATATGAGACAAAAAAAAAAAAGAGGACACAATCTTTCAGTTTTGGTCAAAAGGTTTTTCTTATGTCTCAGATCTTGAGTGGATAACATGATGCTTTTTGAAAAAAAAGCATCATTCCTTTTTGCTTATTATTATTTGCTTATTATTTTTGCTTTTCGCTTATTATTCAAATACCTCTTTATACTACTGAAAGAAGTATTAGTTGATTTTGGGCCACTTGGGGGCAGTGAAACAACCTGTGAACACAATATTGTTGCATGTCCCCTTGTTTCCTGTCATTTCTACTGTTTCTATCAAAATTAAAAATGCCCCGAAAAATACGTTCTTATACAACTAAACTGTATTCTCAGTTAAGTTTTGAGAGAAATGTATTTTCTCCCTGATTACACTCGCAGTTTTTTTTAACACGTGGTTAACGTTGAAGAAAAGAAAGAAAACATCACAGTTTGGCTTAAAATGTGTTACATTATCTAACTTATGAATGTAAAGTCAAATTAATCAACATTGACTTCCAGTTTCGTACAGGACACAAACGGCGAACTCCTGGGTGAAAGTCCTGTGTTTGTTTGGAAACGTACTTGTCATAACTCAAATACAAACCCTGAAAACATATTTGGCAATGCAGTTTCACTGTATGGAAACTTAATGTTTTGGAAACCAGGCTGGCTAGATAGGTTGCTTGCAGTTTGCCCATCCAAGCTTTTTTTTTGCTGCCTGCTGCCACCGCTAACTTTCACATTACACATAATCATTTCATGGATTGGTCATTTTAAACTGACTAGTGCAGCTAAACTTAACCCGAGAAACTACTAATAATATGTCACTGCACTAATTCCAATAAGAAAGATGTTATTCTCAAAGTCATTGTGAGTCACTAAAGTAAACCTCTTTAGATGGCAACAAGAGGGAGGTAGTGTGTGTGTGTGTGTGTGTGTGTGTGTGTGTGTGTGTGTGTGTGTGTGTGTGTGTGTGTGTGTTTCCAGAGGTGGTGAGGAATGAGTGGGCGAGTCAAAAACAACCTATGACACTGATAGCAGTCGCTGTTGCCCGCTAAGAAACAGACGCGTCAGTGACAGCTCGGGGTCAGCGGGGGTAGCACCAAAACAAGACGCTTCACCTGGGGGAGGGAGAGCCTGAGATGAGAGACAGCAGGCTGGAATGAGACGAGGACTGACTGACTGCGAAGACATCTCACCAGAAAAACAAACTCCTGGCAGACAAAGTGTAGTTAGCAGGAAAGATTTGGTCACTGCAATAACTCAATGTGTCAATCTGCAGCCCTGCGTCATCTTTGGAAAACACACACTTAACTCCAACTTCCGTGGACTGAACTGGGCTCAATCAGTGGAGTCCTCTGAGCGTAGGACTCCGGCAGCCGTACTCTCTTAGTAACGGCATTTGCGGCAGCAGGCCGAGGGCTGATAAGTCCATGCTTTTTAGAGACAGGGCAGCCCCGGCTCCACCGGCCTCCACTTAAATTTATCTGCTTACACCTGACAGCGTCCCTAACGCTGCCTTCACACGCTGTGGGAATTGCGGGCGAGAGGAGCTCGCAAGAATCTCCTGAAACGTTTTCGGGAAACGTTTGTTTATGTTACAGCGACAAAGCCTGACAAGCTGAACATTTGATTCAACCCTAGATTATGAGCTTTGTGTGCATTAAGATTTATAGGGATTAAAGGGATTATTCTTGCTGACTGAGGAATTTGCTGCCCTGAATTTAGTTTGTTGTAGGTGATTTGGTGACTAGATGGAGAAGATGCTGTGTTTTCCCAGTTTTCAACATGTAAACTTAAAGATTAATTAAGTGATGTTCTTTATTTTTCTTAATGTCCACAAATCCCATTGAAAGACCAAAACCATAGCTGTATACCATCTTCTTCCTTGCGTGCCATAGACCTCCATTAAAAACAATGGTAAAACTAGAGCACCGAAGGTGGATTAATCCGCCGCTGAAAATAGTCCCCAACAAATGCACATCTGGGAAAATGAAAGCCACCCATCGCCATCCTCCATTCAATGTAACCTAAACACACCATCTTGTTTTCCATGACCACTTGTGTAGCGCAGATTCGTAGGATATCCACTAGCACTTTGAATACGAAGTATTTTGAAAGTCAACATTCAGTCTTAACTAAGCAATCAGAAGTTGACAAAACAGTCTCACCTCAAGGTCCATTGAGTAGCTGTTCCGGAGCTTTCAGCCGTGTCACATCGGCAGATTCAGCTTGCTCTGTAACCAACGGAACTGTAGGCGTTAACACATTTTTTAATATGAGAATTGGCAGTCACGGTCCATGAACTGTGTTATCATACATAGTGATAGTAAACGGTACTGTATGTAGGTCATAAGGGACAGGGACTGATGGCAACACTAAATGAACATGGTTACTCATCTGTTGTATATTTGCTCCACACTTGTGTTTTTGCATGGTTTAAACGTTTTTATCCCAAAGATTGCACACAAACACAGCAAGCAGGTGGATTTCCTACAAGTTGATTTTCATTGTCATCAGCTACCTAACTGTCAGGCATTCAAGAATCTAAAATAACACCGTGTGGTTTATAAAATGACTGTCAATGTGGGGAAAAATTACATAATGTACATACCATTTAGAATGACTACGTGTAACCGCATGTGTCACCACACATGTATGCTGACGATCCAGCGGGGGGGGGGTAAGGCCATTGTTTTCTGGCCGTGGAGCCAGGCGACGATTGTTCACGGGGGACTCCAAGCGGGGCCGTGGTCGCGGGTGTGGCGCTTCCAAGTTTATTGTGTGCAGCATCCTGTGCTGGTCGATATAAATAGAGCAACAGAGGAAGACGAAGAGCTGCGACAGAAGTTTGAAAAAAAAATGCAGGACATGCAGGAGCAGAGGTCGATGTAGCTCAGACTTCAGAGGACTCCGCTAGATTTGACTAAGACTATTTAAAAAAAAGGCCATTATTCTAAATTAAAGCTGCACCAATCTGTGTTTTCTATATATCCAATGGTTAGTTAGCAGCTAAAGAGACACATTTATCTCAGAAGTTGGTGGAGAACAAAACAGAGGAATAAATATCAGACTTGCATTCTTCAGGTAGACAGAAACACTTCTCCAAATCACTGCTCCCATGTCTGCTGGATGTGTAAATAGTCAACATATTCATACCAAATTTATGAAGCGATAGTATGTCAATGTTGTGTTTTGTAGCTTGTTGTGCTGCCCCTAAGTAGCCACAAAATCTGTCAATGCAGGTTTCCATAAACCACTGCTACTGACTGGTTTGTTATAATAAAATAACAGTTATGTTTTGTTCACTCCTTAGGCTTCCTATTTCTCAGCTTCTGTTCAAATGCAGACAGCAAGAACGTTCCTGTCACGAACAGGCCGTCGGCCAGGCCAACTAGTGGCAGCATATCTGGGCCTCTTCCAATGATGCCCAGTAAGACCGTAACTGTAACGGCTCTAATATCCACAAGGCCAGCTGCTGTGGTCACCAAGCCCGCTATGACTGCGACATCCAAGCCTACAGACAAGCCAACCTCTGCCGGACAACAAATGCCCACTGTCACAAACAACACACAAGCACCTCCCATGTCCTCTGGGCCCCCCACTACTATGAGGATTGCCACTGCTGCTACTACTGTGACCCCGGCCCCCAGCTCACCAAAGAACGTGGTCCCAACCACAATAGTTGACAGCAGCGGCGTTTCAGCTGTAACCCCCAAGGCCACCACAATGCAGACACCTGAAGCCTCCGCACCCAGTAACACATCTGGGATTGGAGTGCCCACCACCGGGCTGCCTGGCAGCGTGGGGACAATCAAAATCACAAAGGTCTTGACAGTAGCCCCTACGTCGGGGCAACAGTCTGTGACTCACACCATCATCGCCACCAAGACGAGCCAGGACAGCAAAGGTAAATCCCTCTATATGCCAACCTGAGAACAACACACCTCATGATGGGAATGACTGAGGGTTCATTTCAAACTTTTAATGGCCCATGTCGCCCAAAACAGTTGACTTGAATCAAAACTTGTAAATAAATTAACAAAAAACAAATGCACAGATTGACTTTATAAATATAAATGATTATTGGAGTATTTCGTCTAGTAACTATTCAATCTGGTGGTTTCATCGAGACAAAGAAGATAATTTGAGCTCATTGTTTCAAATGTGCATGCCTGCTTTTTCAAAATGACACTGAGCTGACAAAAGAATGTTAAGCCGTTTAAAAAGTGATCGTCACTGATTGGCTCAGAGGGGCCTGCATCACCAGAGGTGTAGACTGAAGTCACACGACTTGGACTCAAGTCAGAATGGAGTCATACATTTGATGATTATAGACTTGACCAAATTAAAAAAATAACTGGGACTTTAACACTAACTTCCCTTTTGACTTGAAAATGCTTGAAACCCTCCCCCAAGCCCAAATATAAAAAAGTTATTTAATTTTAAAAGTGTGCCACGAATCAATTCATCTCCTGAATCAAGTCACGTTGACGCTTTCCACCTCCAGCAAGTCGACACTTAATTCCCCGGTGCACTTTGTTTGAACCGGTTTGACAGCATCCGATCAAGCTGCAGGAAAGAACGTTACGTTATTGTGCACCTGTGAGTAAAGAAATGATTACAAAGATAATTCTGTTCACGTACAAAGACTACGCACTGGTCAACAAGTACGCAAAAGGTGTGGCCGAAAATTACAGTCAGTGATGCAAATGGCATTACATTTGATGAAGAGCACCGTATGACTTGTTTAGGACTTGACACTCAAAGTTTAGGACTTGGGACTTGTCAGTCTTGACCCAGGACTTGAGTACAAAGATTTGAGACTTACTTGTGCCAAATGATCAACAATGATTTTGTCCCACCTCTATGCATCACTATCAGGGGACAATATTTTTACTGTTGTCGCATTGTTTCTGGTTGAAGGTGGCGAGAAAACAACTGTGGCGGTTACAGGCCACGAGCAGACAGTGTCGAGGGCCACAGAGCTAACTGGGAACACGGTGACCACAAGCACCCCCTCCCCCCTGACCAAGGCACGATCTCCTGCACCACAGACCATTGGTACCAAAGCTGGAACCACCTCCCCGCAAACCTCCACCGCCACAACCACAATCCCCACCACCAGCAGCACCAGCAGCACCACCAGCAGCAGCACCAGCAGCACCACCAGCAGCACCACCAGCAGCACCACCACCAGCAGCACCACATCAGCTCAGCCAAAGACGTTTTTGGTAAGACACACTGTGACAAAAGGGAAGAGTTAGAGTTAGTGTGTTCACTTGCCTTCACTTTACATTAACATATATCAAAAATGCTTTTGACTGACGTACTGTTTTTCATTAATTATTTTTGCAGTATTCTCTAAACAACGGGCATGGGGTAAGATTTTGCTTTATTTGTTATCTGTTTCAGGCATCAGACTGTTTCCATTCACCCAAACAATACATGTGACAATAAACACAGTTTGTGTTCTGAATTTCAACGAGCCTCTGCCATTGTCCCAAGGCAGGCCCACACCCTTTCCACTCCTTTCTCCATTGACATTTACTCCCCAAAGTTAGAGAATAATCGTGCAACATCCTGCAGGAAGAAAAAGAACAATAAGTCATGTTTTATATACTGTACCATCGTGTCCTTTTTAGTGCTACAGCTTTTGCATCAGTTGCCGATGCATTTAGTGACTTGTGTTGAACTTCTGCTTATGTGTTATTCTTCAGGTAAGAAAAATGTAATTATGATGTACTTGCTATACTGCTTCACAAATCCATTTACAGCATTTTGCAGCCTATGTGTAGCACTGATTATTAATTATGAATATGCAGCGACCTTCCCAAGGGAAGCATCACTAGACTAAACCTCAGACAATTACACAAAATGACAGTCAATCGACAAAAAATGTGTGGACACCACATTACATTACAGTCCATTTAGCAGACGCTTTTATCCAAAGCAACTTACAATAAGTGTATTCAACATAGATGTTCAAGAGAACTACTAGTCACCAGAAGTCATAAGTGCATCTCCTTTTTGAGACAAGCATCTAAGAGCATAAACCAGAGCAAAAGTACAGAAACAAATGAATACAATAAGTGCTAAGTGGAAGGCTCAGGGCGGGTGCATGAGAATTAGATAACCTGACACTTCTTACAGTAATCAACAGCAGAATCAAACATTACCAAGGCAACAACACAGAGAGTTATAAACAATATAAACTCCACAGCGGATGCAGCCACAAACTCACATATTACAGCTAAGGAGAGGCTGCACAGTTGTAACACACCGCGAAGCCGCACAATCAACGGTGGCTGCTGGGCATTACAATGGAGGGAGAGAGGGTGTTGTAGCCTCGTACTGTTAAAGCGTAATATAACCAGTCCACTCAGCCTCTCTGTCCCACTATAACCAGTCCACTGAGCCTCTCTGTCCCA